TGTATCAAAGTTTCAAATTCATGAGTGGAATAATAATATAAAGTAGTATTTTTATATCCATATTCTGAAAAATCATATTGTCTTATTAGCACAAGTTAATAAATTAATTAAGAATTAATGAAATGTCCATACCTCCATATGCAAATCAATCTTAATCATAAGTCTGAGTAGGATTATACAGTTTGGGAGAATGATTGATCGAGACTTGGAAGTCTAATAGATTCATCACTTAATGCCAAATACTAACTTATCTTATTTGTTACATGTTGACTATCAAATTTCTAGATTGCTTTTTAATTATATATATATAAAAGAAAAGGACACATCTTTTTTATGGAGATTATTCTTCAATGAATTATATAAGTATCTAAAAATCCTAAATGTTAAAAGTTATTTATGAAAAATATTTTAGTACACATTATATACAGATTATAAATGGATTAAGCTATAATCTTTGATAATTTTTCATAATAAAAGTAGAAAAGTACATGGATTAACAATATCAACATTTGAATTTTAATTAAACTAGATAAAGATCCGGATATTGTGCGGGTTACCCTGTTAAAGTGTTTTTCTCTCTTTTTACATATACATACATATAGTATATATATACATATAAAAATAAAGGGCAGATGAGAAATGGTTTTTGCCTTTGTGTTTCTAAATTAAATAGCGGTTGGCCATTGATGTAGACAATTCAAGACTCAATATAGTTGCATTATAAATAATTATAAATAACATCAATAGATTTGCTTTTCAAATCATGATTTTATACATGATATAAATAAATTAATTAAATTAATCAGTTCCTCCGTAAAAGTAACTAAAACCATAATGAGTTTTAAAGAATAGAATCTTTAGAGTTTTGTTAGTTAATTGATTATTTCAGTGAAAAAAGTGACAGTTTCAGAATATATATAATGTTTGTTTTTAAATTTTATAGGTCTAAATCATCTGTTCTACATCACCATCATCATATATCCTCTACCACCATTAATTAATATATGATACTTGTAACGGTAGTCATAAATTACAAAGGCTTTTCCGGAAATGAATAATTATAAGCATTATATATCAGATTTAGCAATAGTCGTATCAAATTTGTGAAAAATGCAGTTCCAATAAGAATATATGATACTTGCAAAAGAATAAAATGAAATTGGAGCTCTATTGTTTACAAGAAATATAGTATAAGAAGAGTTTGTTTGTCTTAATCTATGTTTCAGCCTTCTATACGACCAGCACAACAGCACTTTGAAAAACAAAAGATTGAACCATAGAAATTAAAATATAAAAACTGTTATGTTACCTGAACTGTGCAAAATAGATGCAAAAGTAGTAATTCGTCCCAAAAGCGTCCCAAAAGCAAAACAAAATAATAACTGCCGCTGTGGAAAACAAAATTAAGAAACATGAAATTTTTAGTGCTTTAAAAGTAAAGTTTAAGTGAAGAACGCAATTAAATAACTCCTTAGCATTTAAAGATCCTGGAGAAAAACCAATTGATAAACAAAGAGCATTAGAGCAATTGCCGGCTATATATTAATAATAATAAATATTTTTCAATAAAACAGAGAGAAAAAATAAACAAAAAAAAAAATGATGGCGAGTTGAAAATATATCGAAATATTCCAATTTCAATGCATAGATTATATATAAATCACCAGAATCAATGTGCCAAGTATCACACTGTTTATTCCTTTACCACTACAAAAAAATCGCGGTTTTGCGACCGACACAAATCGGTCTCAATTTTGCGACCGATTTGCAACCAATTGCGATGATTGTGATCGTGAATATATTGCGACCAAGTTGCAACAAAATTTGCGACGGATTTGCGACTAATACTGAAGCAGTCGCTAATTGTAGCGCTAATAATTCCCGCCAGTTTGTTTTCCATTTTGTGATCGATTTTGCGACTATGTGTCATTCCGTCGCAAAATTACGCGCTTCAAAATCAGCACCAAAATTCCACGAGGGTTTGCGACCGATTTGCTAATGATAATTTGCGACCGACTTATTTGGTGGCAAATCGGTCGCAATTTTGGTAGAAAGTAAAATGACGTCGCAGGGCTAAAAATTACGACCGATTTTAATAAAACTTGCGACCGATACGTCGGTCGCAAATTTTAGGGCTTTAAACCCAGCGAGCGCCCTCCTTCTTCTTTCTTCTTCTTCTTTCTTCTCCTCCTCCATTTGCAGCGCCCATCCCAGCCTGTTGTCGCGCCGCTTCCAGCCGCTTGATGCCTCCATCTCCGCTCCATTGCAACGCCGGTCACCGGAGGATCCCTTCTCCTCGTCGTTCGCGGTCGTCAGTTCAGCTACGTTTGTATTTTTTTTTTTTTTCATTTTCGTTTTTTTTTATATTGTTATATTTCTTTTATTGTTGTTGTAGTTGAATGACAAAAAATAAATTGTTATTTAGTTGTTTTAGTTGTTGTAGTAGTGATTTAGTTGGTATTGTGCATTGTGTGTGTTATTGAAAAGAATGATAAAATTGGAAAAAAAATTTAATATTGTAATGATAATTTGGAATTTTTAATAATTTAGGCAAAATTATATTTTAGGGCAAATTATATATGTAATTTATCAATGTAATTTTTATGTAATGGCAATTTTAAAACTTTAGTTGGTGTTGAATTGATTGAAAAATAAAAAATTACATGTTATTATTAAGTAAAAAAAGAACCTAAATGAATTAATAATATGTGTAAAGTAAATAAAATAAATTGTGTAACTAAAATAAATGACAAATAACTTATTGTGTAACTAAAATTGGACAAATAAACATAACTTGGTGTAACTAAAATAAATGAAAATAAACATTATTGAAGAACTAAAAATAAATAACAAATAACATATTCATTTTTTTTTGTAATTAATGAAAATAATGCATTTTATTTGATGTTATTGTTGTTATTATTCTTTTTTTTTTTTTTTTTGTTATTGCAATGAATGTGCGTGAATGTTGGAGGCCTAGTAGTGGCCATTTTTGCCTTTGGAGAAATGTTGGTATGATAAGAAGTGTTTATTGAAGTGTGTTTTTTTTGAAAATTTGATTGTATTGTGCCGAAATACTGTCGATTTTTTTAAAAAAATTGAATTATGTGGAATCGTACACTTACTGATATTATAGTAAGTTTTATATATATATTTATAATAATATATATATATATATAACCCTTAGTATTAAATAAATGAATTTAGTCAGTTTTACATTATATATAGTTACCCTTATTATAGAAATAACCTTAGTAAGTTAAAAGTGTAAATTGAACATTACATTTGCATGTTTTAAAGGATGGTTTAAGACTAATGGCAATTATATATAATTTGCCATTTATAAACACAGTGTTAATCATTCAATTAGGTAAAAAAACGCCAGGGGCTCGTGTTGATGAGCAGGAGAGACAGATTGCAGAACTTAGAGCACATGTCATGCGGTTGTCCGTCAGCCCGGTGCTAGTACTTCTTCCTCTGATCCTGCGGCTACTATAGATAGAAATGTTTCGACATCTCAACAGCAACCACTACCGTCTCCTGATCCCGATGCTGCAGAGGATACCTTGGTCACCCTTGCCGATACTACAGCACATCCAGCAGGTACTCCTTCCAGCAATTCGACATTGGATCGTGCAGATGACCAACCATGTATATTTGATTTTAGATCTTTTTAGCTTTCCAGTTATTTTTTGAAATTTTGTTCAGTACATTAACTACATTAACAATTACATTTTTATATTGCTTTTGAATTGCATTTGTGATATATATATGCCAATTTTCACATGTGCAAAAAAATTATGGTTTTATAAAAATATTATTTTTTTTTATATTTTGCGACGGATTTACGACCGAACTGCAACCAAAAATAAAAACTTTAAATTTAAAATTTGCGATCGAATCGGTCGCTAATTTTCGACCGATTTGCTACAGATAAATCGGTCGCAAATTCATCGGTCGCAAAATATTTTTGCGACGAGCACTTTTGCGACCGATAGTAATCGGTCGCAAATCGATCGCTAATTGTGATTAGCGACCGATTTCTTGCGTTTTGCGACCTATTTTGTCGGTCGCAAAATGGCGTTTTTTTGGTAGTGTACACAAATTGTTGATCTAAGAAAATAAAAGCATGAGAGTCAAATAAATAGAGAATCATTCAAGAAAGAAAAGAGTTGGTCTTCAAATAGAGAAAAGAAAGGGATAAATGGATTTCAAAATTTCAAGTTTTAATTAAATCTTTTAAATTTAAATTTTAATATATTGTTTTGTTGTTGGTAATAGATAAAATTTTATAATTAATCCAATCAAATCTATAAAAAAGGAAAAGGAAATGTGAAGAAAATGTATTAAAAAATTAGAAAATTTGTAAAAAAAAAAGAAAAAAAAAAGGAATGCTGAAATAGGAGTGTGCTAAGTTAGCTTGTTATAATTTTTTTTGGTTTCAGGATTATATATATATATATATATAATATATATATATATATATATTAAGTTGGTTAATTTAATATTTAAATTGTGAAACTAATGTAAGTTGAAAGAATTTAATAAATTTATTTTTAATTTTATTACCAAGTTTAAAAAGCGGTGCAATTTTTTCAACTCAATTTAGGTTGATTTAAATATCTTTTATAATTTAGTTTGATTTACAATTTTTCACAAACCTTTTCACAAACCACTATTATAGATTTGGGTTGGATTTTCAAACTAAACCATAATAGCCACTATTATTTTCAGTTAATTATTCTTTTTCTTTTTTTAAAATAATAAGTGTGAAAAAATGAAAAAAGAGTTTTAAGCGGTGTTTGAATTGATTTAAGCGGTGTTTGAGAAGGCGAAAGAAAAGAAAATTATGGTTTTTTTTTTTCCATTTATTTGGGATAAAACATATTTGTAATTCAATTAAAAAAGATATCTATTAAGCCAAAAGTCTAAAAGCATTATCAAAATGTTTTTAAGATCAGATCAATCATTAAACTAATCTATTTAGTATTTTAAGAATTTCAATTCTGATTTTACAAAGCCATAAACAATTTTCAAGAATCACCAAATATTAACCCTAATAAGTCTATTATACTCTACAAAACCAAAACTCTCTCTCAATAAACAAACACTGATAATAATACTAAGCAACAGTAATGGAAAAATGATTACATTAGAACTAATTATGAAATTAGTGTGAGCATAATAGGGTAGCCTTGGATAATCATCTGGTTGTGGCATCATACATTCATCACCATTAAACAAAACTCTTCTGGGTAAAGCCCATCCTGCCCATCCTTCTCTAAAAGTGAAATCTTCATCTTTGTGCAATAAAATTTCTGTTTGCACATTTCCACTATCACCTTCTTGTAGTAACATGGCATTATAGTACTCAATCCCCCAAAACATTCCTGTATCATCTGTCAAAAACACAGCATTTAAACAACATTTTATAACTCCATTCGAAACTGTACTAATCTTCAGTTTTCGAAATATAAATTGATTCAAACTACTTACTGATGTTTCCAAGCGGTTCATAGTTGAAGCTGAATACTTGATACAAGCTTTTAAAGTTTGGGATGTAAGACAACCAAATTCCACTGAGAATAATTTTTCATTATATTTAGATTATTTATTGTCATCTTAACTCTGCAATACTCTTTATAACTCTCTTTCACATGCCAGTGTACCCTTATAGGGCACATGTGCTGTGTACACCTTACTACTTCTGGGGTTGCATCATTTGAATCTTGCTTTTCTCGCAGCAAAGATGGTGTCTCTCCATACCTACAGTTTTCTCAGATTTTATAAATTTCAGGTTACTAGAAATACCCTTTTCAAGAAAACTGAAAATGAACAAAGAAAGTAGATGTATTAGAGATTTGATGAAAAAATTAAGAGGTTTTACTTTACACATTTTGCTCCAGGTTGCTCTTGGCATCTGCAGCTACATTTAGGGCAAGGAACAATAGTATCATTGTAAAAAGCCGACAAGGAAACACAGCATTTTGGGGTTGCTGCTGATATCAGCATTTTGGGGTTGCTGCTGATATAAACTGAGAATAGATGCAAGTCACATTCCATGTCCCTGACATGAAAATCAAAACATAAACCTTGTCATAAATTAACCATTTCCAAGTAGAACTGTAAGAGTAATAGTGAACAGTTAAACCCGAAAAGATGCATACTAAGAACTTGGGTCCATCTCCGGCCGCTGTCTGAAGAATATCTACTAGGCTTCACTTCATGTGCAGCTCCACAGGTATAACCAGGAAGTCCAAGAGTGAAATTTTCCGGCATTTCGAAATCTGACTGAGTAGAATAATAAGGAGAAGAACGACCTACGTTCATCTGGAAAGTGGCACCATACTTTGAAGGATCTTGTTTCATGGAAGTTAAAACACCCGATTTGCAGCAATTTTGAGATTGCATATTGTAAGAAACTCCAGGCAAAAGATTAACAATCACCGAACTTTTTTCGCAACAATGTGGGAGTGTTGTTCCTTTAAACCTAGTACAGTTTCCTTGCTCAGTTGCCTCAGCTCCCCACATTCCCCATATCACTTCGTGGCCTTTCCAATCCCAACCCAATTTCCAACCAGGTGACTCCACGTGGCGGTATAGTTGGTAATTGAATAGTATAGTTGGTAATTGAATATTGATATTTTTAGCTGTTGGAAACATTATTCATGGATTAAGAATTTAAAGATTTAATTAAGCACACTTAATTTGTTCATTCCAACTTACTAATTTGCCGCTAGACAGAGAGAAAATACTGGGACCTTAATGTTGAAGACAAACTAGATGCAGACAAATAGACATTCTATTTACAGAAAAGTAGCATCATGCACAGGTGAGTCAACAGAATCTTATATTCTGATAAAAAAAACAATTATATTGATTTATTTCAAGATTCTCAATTTCAATTTATTTCAATTGCAATTTAATAAATATATTTTTTAATTTTAATACCAAGGTAAAAAAGGGATGCAAATTTTTTCGTATATTTAGTTGACTTAAATATCTTTTATAATTTAGTTCCACCACTACTATAGATTTGGGTTGGATTTTCAAACTAAACCATAATAGCCACTTTTATTTTCAGTTAATTATTCTTTTTCTTTTTTAAAATAATAAGTATTAAAAAATGAAAAAAAATAGTTTTAAATCAATGTGAATTGATTTAAATGGTTTTAAAAAGGAGAAAGAAAATATTTTTTTTTTTCGATTTATTTGAGATAAAATACATTTGTTATTCAATTCTAAAAGGATATCTATTAAACCAAAAGTCTAAAAGCATTATCAAAAATGTTTTTAAGATCAGATCAATCATTAAATTATAGTATAATAACACATTTTTTTAAAATATTATTTTATATAATATATATTCATGAAATATTGCGACTATAGTATCAAAATATAGAGACAATAATGAAGTGTAAATCGAAAATTAGGACACAATTTGAAGAGAACAAATTAGAGAATATAATATCATTTATTTATTAATCATAACACACTATACATTAATCAAGGCGCATCATGAAAAGGTCGTACTCGCCGCCACTTTTAGACCCGAAGATGCTTCCCAACCCTTTGGAGAGAAAGGGACTAATTTTTAACCATAAGAACATTCTTTCATTGAGTTTGGTCCCCCCCCCCCCCCCCCCCTCCAACCGCCCTGTCTTAGACACCCATGCATGTTGCGTCCCATAAAGACAAATTGAGTGCCGACCGAAATGGAAGATAAAAATCCTATAATTGCTTGTCCTTTCTCTTTTATCCAATGCGAAAAAAACTAATATAAAGATAGAAAATTTTAATCACTTTCAGTTAACAACTGATTATTTTTGCATGGCACAGCTTCGTTAAGAAGTTGTGTCTAGTCTTTTGTTTTTAGCTTTATGCTTCCCTTTTGATGAAACAAAAAATATATGAGATTAAATTTCTTATATAATAAATTGAATTTAATAAGCATATTCTGTGATATAAATAAAATAAATTAACGAATATTACGGATAAATTATATTCAATTGGATTAATAATTAGAAAAATAAAATAAATAATAGAAAGGTAATTTTATTTTCAGAGTGAGCTTTGTTAAATTCAGAACAGATAATTTTTTATACCGTTATTTTAATTTTGATTGCTCTAGGTTTAATGTTAAAATTCTAGCGCGAACTTGATGTGACACAAATTAATTATATATAGAATTGCGCCGATATTATGTGGGTCTCATTAAGGAGTTGTTGAAGAGCAAGAATCAATTGGATTCGATGATGTTAAAGCAAAGACAAAATTAAGTTAAACTGATTAGAAGTGTATGAGACCCACTATATAGATTTTAAACACCAGTCCCTCTCAATGTATTTTTTTTTTTTTCTATAATCTGATTCTGTTGATTTGACCTATAAAGAGAAAGCTTTTTGCTCCTATCGACAGTTTTCAACATTCAAGGTATGAGTACCGCTGATATGACTGAGGCTCTACTGTTTTACACCATCTCCACAATGATTAGAAAAACAATTTTATATAAAATAACACAATTTTATATAAAATTTTGTTAAGGAACCTATGAAGGATGAGCTAAGATAGCTTTGCTCAGGCGATTAAGTATATTAAACTTTACGCTTAGGCTCGTAAGAATCGATATCCTGAAAATTTCAATTTGAAATATCCTAAGAATCGTTTTCAATTCGAAAGGATTAGTCTATTCTTTTATTCTTTTATATAAAACTCTCTCTCAATAAACAAACACCGATAATAATACTAAGCAACAGTAATGGAAAAATGATTATATTAGAACTAATTATGAACTTAGTGTGAGCATTAATTATGAACTTAGTGTGAGCATAATTGGGTAGCCTTGGATAATCATTCGGTTGTGGCATCACACATTCATCACCATTAAACAAAACTCTTCTGGGTATAGCCCATCCTTCTCTAAAAGTGAAATCTTCAGATTTGTCCCTCTGTGCGCACAGCTACATGCCTAGTTATTTATTTCGGCTGAAGGGGGGTAATCCATGCAGAATATGCTACCAAAAAACCTATTGAGTCCTTCAATATTTATTTGATCCATTGAATTCTTGAATTTTGTTTCTATCCGTGTTAAACACAATCTGTCTATATAAATAGATGCAAATGTATGCAAATTTTGACATATCACTCCCTAAAATCCCGCTGCATGATAATCTATGTCTAATTTTTTTTTTAAAATAAAATAATAAATTATATTGAGTATACATATTTCTCTCCATTTTCGCCACTTTCATCTCTCAACATACAATTCAAACCGTCTTTTTCTCTCTCATCATTTTTATCCACATATAATCAAAGTATCCAAGTTCTTTGGCAAATTGAGTTCAATGAATACGAAAATGAACATTCAAGCGTTCAATAGATCAAAATAAAATTTGGAGAGCTTAATGTGCTTTTATGCGGAGTATTCCTTTGAAGAGAGAACGCTGAGGAATGCATTTTCAAGCATATAAGAACTTTATGCATAGAAGCAGTTTGGGAATTACTAGGTAACTGATTTGGTAGACTTCAAGGCAGTGTGATCTCGCTTAAAATTTTACCAACTGATCACTGCCGTGTAATAGAAGATTTGCCCTGTGCGAGAGAAATATTGAAACTTCCATTTTTTTTTTTTATGTTCTTTGTAGAATTTCTTTTTGAGAATGTTGCAAATTGTGGAAGGCTTTTGCCTTTTTCTTCTTTTTGCTAATGATTCTGCCTTAGTATTAGCCAGATGATATTGCCCGTTTTTGGCTTTATCTTAAGTAGTAAGGAATAGAATGGTTGTTGAAGATAGGTCTTGGCTTAAATTTCATTTACTAATTGTCAAAGCTAATTGTCAAAGGAAATTGCTTCTGAAAAAACAGTTTCCAGCTTCTATGCAGCTGAGTTGAGCCTTGCAATATTTAGCTTGAAAGACTTTTTATGGAAGAGTGAACCAGGTCTGGTAGAGTGCGGTTTAATTTTCCTTGTTTGGCTTATTAAGAGGAAGTTTCATTGCCTCTTCAGATTGAAAAGCAAAATTCTGTTTCGTTTTGTCTCTGAATGCTTTTTAAATTTTCACATGTATGCTGTACATGAGTTTATGCATGTACATGCATAAGTTCACATTAAGTTTTGCACTCTATTAGGAGACTGAGGAGAAGAAATGTTGTGATGGGATGGGATGCGGACAGAGAGACATATTGCAACACTTGTTATCCTTATGTTGGTTATGTTGGCTGACATTACTGAAAGAAACTGATATTATGATTTTTCTTTGTTGCAGCCTGGAACTAATCTAGTAAACTACTGAAGTACAGAATAAATCATTGATTTATCCAGAAAACTAATCTTGTGTCCACTTGTGCTGGTCACCGTGCTGAGTGCTAGACTTATTTTCTGCTTTCTGAAAGCTTTCTCTTCGGATGAACTGCTTTTTTCCTGAAAATTTTAGGTACAGAGATGATGTAGGAAGACATCAAAATGAAAATGGCTCATACAGTCAGGAGAAAATCACTTAGCTACCTTCTTGTTGGATCTGTTCGCAAAAATCTGTTCGCAAAAGTGAGAAAGTGTATCTCTGGTCTGGCCTGAGAAAAGGTCAGGATGAAGCAAGGGTTTTTGTCTCCTGGCCTGACCCAACCAAGGCCTGCAACTATTGGCTCAACTGGGCTTGTGATTTGAATATGTTAGGGCCTGACCCTACCTGGCCTACTGGAAGAATGAAAAATTAATATGTTACGTATGTTTGTAGTGCTGGGTCAGGTCAGGCTTGTGCCCGACCCAAAAATTTTGGCCTGCACAAAGAACATGTTTCCACGTTGTGTATGTATGTGTTTATCTTTTTGATTTTTGAATTATATAACGGATGCTCAACCTTTTGAGGGTGCTTTCAGTGGAGCATGAAGTCTTGAAGAGGGAGATTGGGAGACTACGAGCCTTGTGTCAGCAGCAACAACAACAGCAACAGCCGCAGCAGCAGCAGCAACCATCTTCCAGCCATCGCCGAACTAACAGCAGGGACCTTGAATCCCAGTTTGCAAACCTCTCCTTGAAACAAAAGGATGCCAATTCTGGTCGTGATCCTGTGACAGGTCCACTCCGCACTTAGATAAATAAATTAACCAGAGCTGGTCGTGATCCTGTGACAGGTCCACTCCGCACTTAGATAAATAAATTAACCAGAGATTTGTTGTGCCACCATTTTGCTTAGTTGGGCTACCACATTAACCATCATTATTTTCTCCTCGAGTGGGGTAAAGCCGAGTTCCTCCAGTCTCCATCCCATCTCTGTACCTGATTTGCACAATTTATTATTACTTTGTTTCTTGCCCCTCTTTTCGTTTGATAAAATTAATATCTTCACGTGCACCTGGTTGTCATTGCGGGAAAATTATGTTTTCAGGCGAGATGACTTACCGGAGGTGGTAACTTAAAAGAGGTTCCATATTTGGTCTCTTCTGTATGGTAACTTAAAAGAGGTTCCATATTTGGTCTCTTCTGTATGTTCAGATGATTATAATTCAGGAAATTTATGTGCTCCACTTGTAATCCATTTAGAGTATCTAATTCGTGGAGTCGAGATGTAGCGAAGGATGTTTAGAGCATGTTGGATCTGCGGCATTTGTAATGGTGTTATTCCAAAGAAATGCTTTCTTGTAAAATCTGTTAAATGAAATTCACGTCTTCTTGCTTATTTTCACTGTTATGAGAAGGGCTGAGTCCTTGTTTGGCTGCTAGGAAATGAAGGGCTGATGCTGCTTCTGGCTGGTAATTTATAACTGTTCTTCCCTCCTACTGTAATTTAGGTGTATTTTTCAAACATTTGACCATTAAATTTGCTTGAAAATATATTCTATTTTTGTTTTAATAATTTTTTCTTTTAATAGTTACAGTTAATTATTAAAAATTGGAGATTGAGTGAATTGTGAACCACAGTAATAATCAACAAGTGACAGATTGATAGCTAGGTTATTTGGTAAAAGCCAATAATCATACATTTAATTAATTTTCGATTAATTAACTATGATATAATAACAAGATTTAAAAAAACAATAAAATATTATTTTATATAATATATAATTCATGAAGTATTACAACTATAACTATAAATATCAAAAATATAGAGGACAAATAATGAAGTAAATCGAAAATTTAGGACACAATTGAAAGAGAACAATTAGAGAATTATAATATCATTATTTAGATAATCATAACACACTATAATTAATTCAAGGCCACGTCATTGAATTATTAATTTCATAACACACTATACATTAATCAAGCCACGTCATGAATATTAATTAGAAACTCTATACAGTGAAAAGGTCGTACTCAGCCGCCACTTTTAGACCCGAATATGCTTCCTAACCCTATGGAGAGAAAGAGTGTAATTTTTAACCATAAGAAAATAACTAGTCTCAAAAGATTTTGAAGGATCAATTATGTTACGCACTTAAACATTACGTCAGCCTCACTGCGTTGCACTCCTAGTTGGCGCATTGCATCAGACAGTCCTTTTGCGTTTGCCCCTTAGTTCACGCAGTTGAGACGCTGGGGTCCCAGACAGGGACTTCTTTTTTAAAGAAAAAGTGACAGTTCACTAATAAATATTAAATAATATAATGCGAGTTTATAAAGAAACACACGGAAAGTTGAAATCTTAGAATCTTGAAAAAAATGTTAATCTCTTTGGAATATCAACTGACCATTTTTCAAATAGGATAACAATTGAAATTTTCTATACCAAAAAGTGAAATCTTCGTCCTTCTCTAGTTATTTATTTTAGCCGAGGGGATAATCCATGAAGAATATATTATCAAAAAACTTATAGAGTCGATTAATTTTTATTTGACCTATTGAATTCTTGAATTTTTATTTCTATACCTATTAAACACAATCTGTCTATATAAATAGATGCAAATGTATGTAAATTTGGACATACTAGTCCATAAAATCCCGCTGCGTCATAATCTCTATCTAATTTTTTCAAAATAACATAATAAATTATATTCAGTATACATATTTCTCTCCACTAACTTTTTCTTTCATGCTAATTAAATCTCTACTGCAAATTATACTTCATAACATTAAATGATATTCAATTTCAAATTGCAAAATTAATATATATAATGATTCTAGCCAAGTCTATCTAGTAAAAAAGAAAATGCCTTGATTCATAGCAAGTTGGAATTTTAGTGATTATTTTTTTTTTCCTTGATAAATTAAAATCTAATTGATTTGTAATCTCACAAGTCGTTGGTATGCCAAAACTCACTAGTATGCTAGTGAAGTTAAATTTTATCTTCGTCACTAGAATTTTTTTCTTTTTCTCCTTCTTTTGAGGCTGAAATGATATGTAGAAGTTCCTATCTTATAAATCCAATCCCACTAATATAAGATTCGTCGTTGGTTAGCCAGAATACCATTGGTGTCGGTTCGTTATTTACCGTGAGGCTAACCAGTGAGCTGACTTCTTTTCGAAAATGGCTACCCCTTTTGGTTTGGGGCTACACGCGCTGGACTCTCCTCCTGTGCTGACTTCTTGTCAAAAATGGCTGCCACTTTCGGTTTGGGGCTACACGTGCAGGACTCTCCTGAAGGGATGCATGTGGCTGCGATATGATTTGCATGGCCAGCTTCTTAGTTAAGTTGTGTCTAGTCTTTTGTTTTTAGCTTTATGCTAATATATATATATATATATATATAAGAGATTAAATTTCTTATAAGTAAATAAAATAAATTAACGAATATTACGGATAAATTATATTCAATTCGATTAATACTTTTTTGTGAACTAGAAAAATAAAATAAATAATAGAAAGGCAGTGTTATTTTTAGAGTGAGCTTTGTTAAATTCAGAGAACATAATTTTTGCTGTCGGGTTAATGTTAAAATTCAACCTCAACTTCAGCAGTTGGACGTTTCCAATTTCACCCAAATGTGCAAGAATCATGCACTCGTAAAAGAGAAAGAAAAGAAAGATAATGACAGCTTCAACCTTATAATCTGTTTGATTGATAAGGGTAATTGAGTCACAACAGTGTTATAAGAGGATTTTTTTTTTTTTTTCTGAAAATGTAACTCATAATAATATTAAGAAGAATTATAAATACTCATATTATTAATATTAAGAATAATATTAATAATAGAGTCACGTGGCGGTATAGTTGGTAATTGGATATTATTGATACTTTTAGCTGTTGGAAACATTATACATGGATTAAGAATTTAAAGATTTAATTAAGCACACTTAATTTGTTCATTCCAACTTACTAATTTGCCCCTAGACAGAGAGACAACACTGGGCCCTTATGTTTGAAGACAAACTAGATGGCAGACAAATAGATGTTCTATGTACAGAAAAGTAGCATCGTGCACAGGTGAGTGAACAGAATTTTATATTCTGATAAAAAAAACAATTATATTGATTTATTTTAAGATTCCGAATTTCAATTTTAAGGTTTCTATTATAAAAATGAACAATTATCTGGCATTTGTGGGTTAAGGGAGGATTAATATGGCAGTATTTTCACTATTTTTTCAGAAAAATTTCCGTTGCTCGAATCTATGACCTTGTAAGTGGAAGAATTTTACTGTTATATAAAATCCACCCTCAAAAAGAATACAAGGGTAATATTGGTACAAAAATAAAGAAAAACCAGCATGCTTTTAGAAAAAAAAGACCACTCCTTTAACTCAGGTTCCCACTTTCTCTCCCATGTAGAATGTTAAACCTAATTAGGTGGCAGCTCAATGCAACAGTTTGATCTTTTCAATCAAAAACTCAAGATTGAAATGTTAACAATCGAATAATTCAAATTTATAATTTTACAATCTAAGAAAAAAAATTCAAAGGAAAGAATCCAACCACTTACATCATATGTATCCGATGATTGCAAAAGATCCCATTTGATTGTAATGTTACCATGTGGATCCAATGGATCGAAACCGTCTGCAATTCAATTAATCAAATATTTCCATGTGGATCCAATGGATCTAAAACCGTCTGCAATTCAAAAACCGTCTGCAATTCAATTAATCAAATATGATTCAACAAAAAGATCAAAACTCCAATAATTTTTATAGATAACAAAATAGAGAAAAGCAAAAGGCACTTACAATCATGCTAGTTTCTATGTGTGGAGGGTATACTTCCACGTCTGTCTTTTTATGTTTCTTAATGAATCTTTTCATTTTAAAAAAGAAAAAAATCCCACGTTAATGTCCGTATTTGGTGGATTCCAAAAGAAATCTCTCGCTATATATACATTGACTTTGTGTTAATAATACATTTTTTTTTTTTTTAGTGAAAAGGAGGGTTGTAAGCCCTTAATAAATAGGACGGCGAGGCCGCTCCAACCATGTCAGCATCAAGAAGCTGACCAGGATGTGAAGAAGGAGCATGCAATACTCGAAAATCAACCGAAGCTGACCAGGATGTGAAGAAGGAGCATGCAATACTCGAAAATCAACCAAGCCATCTACAGCTTCTTTAGCTAAGCAATCAGCAACGTGATTGTCCTCCCTAAAAACTTTGATCTTTATTTATGAAACTAAACACATTGAGCTGTTATATTATAAGCTCTAATCTTTTAAACGACTGTACGTTTCGTTTAAGTTAAATACTAAATTTCTCGTAGAACTTGATGAGGTTATATCCAATAGAATAAATATTTTTCAAATTAAAATAAATAAAAAAGATCAGACAGTGAATATAACATGACATGACATCCAATATCTTGATAAGGTTATATCCAATAGCTAGTCTACTTGCTCATAACATGCATCTACTTGCTCATAAGTTCATGTACACCTTTTTTTTTTCTTTGTCAATATCTAATTAAAGCAACAGTTCTTTGTTTGTCTTTTATCATAAATTTCAAAAGCTCATGCAATCATAAATTCTTCGTCGCACGCTTTTTGTTTGCTCTCTTTTTCTATAAATATAGAAGAGCTACTACTTCACTAAGCTGCATGTACACTAATTTTCTTGAAGAAAATGGCGAAGACTAAACTCGATCCCGAGATAAAGTCTGATTCAATGGACATTCTTTGTGAAAAGTCTTTGAAAAAAACTGATTTGGAGCACCAATTCATCGCTCCAAGTGATTTCCTGAAGAAACTTGCTGATTTGGATGAAAGTGGTGAGTTGAAAGAAAAAATCACTTCATTTGATCGAGATGGCAAGGAATGGACATTTGAATTATCCATACGCAAGACTGGGATATATCCTAAACCAACTCTCACTCCAGGTTCTTGGCATCCATTTGTGAATCATTTCGGTCTTCGAGGTGGTGATGCTGTGATATTCTATATAATAAGAAATGATGGCGCTCGTAAGATACAGATTAGAGGGCTGAGAAAAATTATCTTTCTTGGTAAAACGACTTGGGACGAGGTGAAGAAAGTAGAAAACCATGCATCAACTTCGCATTACAGGGTATGAGGGCCTTAACACATCTGTGTATGTTTGTTTTTATTGTTATATTTTTAAATAAAGTAGTATTACGGCTGTTGATCGAAACGAAGTGATTTAGACTCCTTCTCACTTAATCTAAAATCTACAGTATGAAAATTATCACGCCTGAAGGATCACCCCTATATGAATCTTGTAGAGTATGATGTTTCTATATACGGACAATATATGTAAGTTTGTATTAAAGTTTTTTTTTTTAGTATGGAAACCTGG